TGTTGCTGGTTTTTAAGAACGGTCCTGAAAAGCATGTCAGGCTAAAAAAAGAAATTTTATTACTTGTTTTTCAAAACTTTAGACTGTTACAACTAAGAACTTTACAAACCTAATTTATGTTTCATAATTTACGCTGTCTGTTTACTTCCATCTGAATTTGGAGAATGAATATTTTAAGTTGAACACAAATTATCTGGTTTCATTGCAATTTTTAAACAAAATGTCATAACTATATTTCAGTGATTTGTATGTTTTTGATGGTTTTTTAAAAAACAAAATCGAAATTTGGTTCCTTATTTACCTGATTGTATCACTTAAATCGCAAACGGAAAATACAGTAATGTGAAACTTTCTTCCTGATATATCTCAAAATAAGCATTCACAGTTTGCATTGTAGCAGGTTGTATGTTTTAAGAAAATTATGTACAAACAAATATCAAAGACAATATCTGTGCTTTAAGTTATATTGCTATTTGTGTTTTGAGATTTATTTATATGAGAATAAATAGTTCCTGAGTAAAGATATAGGAAGAATGCAGTAAGTTTAAGAGAAGGAAAATGGCTTTGAAAGGTTGCCAAGAGAAGAGGACTCCAGCTGTCATTTACCTCTGCTGGCCCAAAGAATCTTAAGAGATCTCCTGAGCTTTATAGATTTGGAGAGGGCTCACATTTCCGACTGGGAGAAATCAGCTGTCTCCTACAGCCACGTTAGTTATTCTGAGCATGATCCAAAGCCCAGTGAAGTTTTATCTTGGACTTCAATGGGCTTTGAGTCAGACCCTCTGTGCCCTCCCTTCCTCATATGTATACAGTTAGTGAAACTATCCGGCCTGATCATAATTCAGGCCCTTGGTAGTGATATCAGGGGACTTCACGAGGAACTGTGAATATGCTCAGTGAAGTTGTTTAGAGGTAACTTCTTCCCAAACTGATAACATTCGTGAGCCAGGGAAGCAGGTTAAAAGGAGATCATAGTTATCCTGAAAAATCAGTAAAGCAGAGAGAAAAATTTTTATCAGAGTGAAAATCCACACCCCTGAGTGATGCAGTTATACTGACCTAACTCCCCCTGGAGACAGCACTGTGTCTACAGGAGTGTTTCTTGGGGAGGTGGAGTACCTATGTCAATGGGAGAAGCTCTCTTGTTGACATAGGAGGTATTGTCTTCACTAAGCACTACAGTGGCACCGCTGCACTTGTAAGCGTAGACAAGCCTTAAGCTTTTTTCCCCTCACTCTGTTTCCCTCCTTCCATTTAGATAATCCTTCCTTTCTTTGTCTTCCTTTTGCTTGTTTTCTCCATCCCTTACTCCCAAGATAACAAACAGTTGAATAGTGCAGCTGGGCTTTGGACATCCCTTAATGCACAAAAAAGTCAGACGCTCATTACCTGCAGTAACTATTGGCAGCTTTCCCATGATTGTCTCCTGCTCTCCCATCATCTGTGGGCATTAAAGGAACAGTGCGAGTAAAAACACTGGGGGGGATACATTTTAAAAGAGCCCTCATGAACCTCATCTGCTCTCAGTAAAAGAGGCCGCTATAACAATTGTGCTTAAATTTATATAACCTAGAAGATGAGGGAATATCTAAGTCTTTGGCTGGCAGATCTGCAGACACAATATAATCAGCTCCTGTGACAGAAGTGTGCTGAGTAGAGAAGGACTTGCTGCTAAATGGACCACTGGGGGCCCAAGAGAGGAAGGAAACAACCTTCCCAAAACGTGGGGAAAAATGTTCTTGCAGGTTTACATCAATATGGTTCATATACACAGTACACAATATGCATTTATGCCCTCTCTTCCCCCAGCTTTTGCTGTTGCTGCCACCTCAGCAGATTTGCAGCAAGTTTGCCAGAGTTAATGCTTACTACAAAAACGTGACCCTCTAGTATCAAACTTGAGTTTTAGCCACTATGCACCTGCAACCGTCCTGTGAGGATGTGTTCAACATTTAAATGCAAGCAATAGCTTTTGCATTTTTTATTACATAAAATCCATATGAAAAGGCTGGAAGGCCAAGAGCACTCCCAGGATGGAGGGGTTTCTTAGTAAGTGCTGGCAATGTTTTGTTGTCCACCATCCTTAAGACATGACCATTCAACTGAACAGACCTGCATGGAGAGAGGTTGTTGGGTTAGTTATGTTTTGTGGACCACCTAACACAAAGCTCACTTGGTGTGACTGGAAGAAAGAAGGAAAGTGCTGACATTAAGGCAGATTTATGTTGCTTTAAGGTAGTTAAACCACTTATACCCCCATCCTTACAGACTGACAAGTGTACAGGATACTGGCAGCATGTCTACTAGATGTATTAAGCTGCCTGCAAGCTACATGTATTTATAATACATGATATATACACACACATTTATGTGGGGTAACTTTAATGAAAACTGAAAAGTAAAAGTTTTTTGTTGTTGAACTGTTCACAATCACAAGTTGGGTGGAGAATGTACTTTGAAAAGCACAGATAAGCTTCTGTTTCTCTTGAAACTGTTAATACACCACTGACACCCAAAGAGGTGCACTCAGACCAGATGATCACAGTGACCTTAGAATCTAAGGAGGTAGATCCTTACCATTTTTATGTGTAAAAAATATTAATTATCGCTGTTAAATACAGAGGGCCTGATTCTAATCTTACTAAAACCAGTGTAAATTAAGAGTAACTACTCTGAAATCATCACAGATAAACCTGTGTTCAAAACCGTTCTGAGATTAGAATCAAACCTAAAATATTGAACCTGGATACAGGCAGCCTTTTGATTCATACATTTTTGTGATGTTCCATCACTCCCGTGTTCCATATTAAATGCAGAAACAGATCATCAATAATAGTCATTACATGTCTGCTGAGCTATCATATCAATAACATTTATCAACAGTGCCTGGTGTTAAGAGACCAAATTTTATAAGTAAGCACTTACAAAAAAAAAAACAAACATAAAAGTAACTAGTTTTTAATCCTAAAAAATTGAAAATAGAGACCTGTTTTTATAGCTCATCTACATGATAGTGAGGGTACAATTTACAATAAAAGAAAATGTATTCTCACCTGGAAAGTATGTCCTGTTCCCCATGAGGTAATAAAAGGTATTCATCTATATGCTTATTAGATAAGTTATGGGGCAACTGCACATGTTTGGTGACATTATAGAGGTTTAAAAGAAACAGAGTAACATCCCCTTCTTTGTACATTGGGCTGAAAGGGAAGAAGAGAAAAGCACATTAACAGTCACATATTAAAAATAAATTATAGTACTTGAAAGGAGTTGTATTCACAATTGGGCAGATCACATTCCCTCTTCACCAGAACAATTGTGGTTCCTCTGCCCAGGGAGAGGATAAATCGCCAAACTCCATGTGTGTGTCTGTGCCCTCTGTGCACCAAGAGAGATGAACTGCTCACCGTGTCCCAGAATACAGGGAGACACTGGGGATGGGCTGCTGAATCTGCAGCTATGTCTACACCAATAGCCCCAGTGCCTTAGCCACAAAGGGAGCAACATGGAGGACAAGGAGATGACGTAAAAGTTTGCACCTGCAAGTATACTGTTCTCATTTCCTTAGAATTAGTTCTATGGAGGGTAACTCCTTCCAGAGGCAGGATATTGCAGTGGATGGACCCAATGGTGGTGATATTTTTGTAGTATAGCAGCACCTAAAAGTACCAGCTGAAATAAGGGCCCCATTGTGCTAGGCACTGTACACACACACACACACAGAAGCAGCCCCGGCCCCAGAGAGTTTACAGATTGAACAGGCAAGATAGACCAAAAGGGTGGAGGCGGGGAGGAAATATCCCTATTTTACAGATGGGAAACTGAGGCACAGTGAGATTTGGTGACTTCCCAAAGTCACACAGAATGTCTGGAGCAGAGCAAAGAATAAAACTCAGATTTCCTGAGTTCCAGCCCAGGGCTTTAACCACATCATCATCTATACCTTCTCATATAATTCACTATAGCAATTCTTATGGACCTAGTTGTTGAAAGTTTCATAAGAGACTCCTGAATGTTTTTCTAGAACTCCCCTCCCCATTCTACGTGTTACACTGTGTAATGGCCGATCAATTGCAGGGCCTGATCCAAAGCCCCGTTTAGCCTGTCAGAATGTTTCCATTGGTTACAATGGGCTCATTGTGCATTAGGGCCTCTGTTTTTACTGTATTCATTTGTTCCTGGATGTTGTGTTAAAATGCTTACTTGTGGTTATTCGTGCAATGAAGGTACACTCGAAGCCTCTTCGGATCTGCTCCTTTCAGGCCAACTTTCAGTACCTTGGTACCGACCAGTTTTTTGTACAGCAGAGAAAGCCAATAATCCTGTGTTGCATATAAAACAAAACATTTTTCCATATGGCAAACAAGGTATTCTAGATAAGAGGCAAATTACACTCAGACACTAGAATACAATATCACCATGCTCTGTATTAAGGGTGTCCAAAATGTGACTCTAACAAGGTCCAAATGATAATGAGCCAGGAGCTTGAGGGCTACATCCAATATGCATGTACCAGGGCAGGCTGCAGCCTCTCATTTTTAATACCTAAGTGCAGACTCCTAAAACCACTAGATCCACCATCCAGTGCTGGATATGGAGCCACGCTGGGCTCACAGTCTGCAGTGGCCGTACCACCCGCCCTCCATTAAATTGAAGAACTTGGCAAGTCACATTCATCACTTACACTGTATGTTCTCATTGTACATTCACTCTGCTGCCACCCTCAGGTTGTTGGGAGTGTGAATACTCTAACATGCTGATGACATAGAATGACTAAAAACCCGGTAACTGCACCTGCTCGTGCAGCTTAGAGCGAACGCAGTATATGGTGAGGGACTTTTTTGTTTAATTAAGAGAGCTTTTCTGCTCTCTTTTGCGATGTCTGTCATATCAAATTTGTTCAAGTTCACAACAAATAATGTGACAAAGAAAAATCCTGTCTCCGCTTTGCTGAGTGTAGAAGGTATAGTTAGAGCTATTTTGCTCTCCTCTCTTCATAGGTGGATACCGGAGTCCTTCAAGTGGGAGATGCAGGTCTTGATCCTGCACGATGATAAGCACCTTCTGCAGAGTGCCGAGTGCCCTAACCTTCAACTGAAATCAACAGGAGTTGAGCTGCTCTCAGTACTTCACTGGTATGGACCCTCAATTAGTTCTAACTGTGCCCTGTTTAACTTGACCCTTTGAACCGCTAACTCTTTTCCAATAAAGCGGTTTTATAAACATCAAGGGATTGATTCTGAACTCGTTCAACTGAGAGAGTCAGGAGTAACTCCACTAAGTCACTGTAATTATCCTAATGCAAAAATGCTGAGAGAGCAGGATCAGGGCCCCATGTCTTTATATTGCTGCACTGTCCCTTTTTCTAACTTGGTTTGTTTTTTTAAGAGGAGATAGAATACATTGCAACTCTCTTTCTGCTAGAATAGCTCTGTAGTTCTAACATCAGGAGAAACATGGACTTTAGATAAGCTTGGTAAAAATGGCTTGGGAAACACATGGGGAAAAGACAAGTTCAATTTTAGCAGACTCGTTTCTTTCCCCATAACCATATTTATGAGGACCATGTGGAGGCTAACTGGTTCCAAAATGAGCCTGTTATAGAAGCTCTCTTTATTTTTAAATTTCCTCTGGATCCTGAAAGGTATTTGCCCTACAGAACAAAGGCTGCTATATAGAAAAAAATCTAAATTTTCAGATGAGTGATTCACCAGCAAACCCAGGGAACTGGCTTTATTTGTAGTCATATACATTTCCCACTATCTACTCTAGATTAAAGAAAACCAGAAAGAATACCAACTCTCAAATCCCCCCACAGCCCTGTCCCATGGGGACATCTTACAATGAGCAGGATGCATAAAACAGCATCATACTTATATACACCAGTTTCCATTATAAGCCCTCTTTTCACAAATTTGTAGCAGCCACAACTTGGAAGCAGATTAAGTGTGGAGAAGGTAGGAAAGAAGGATGGGAACGGTTACTCCTCCCCACATCCCTGTATAATTGCCATTAGTACTAATGAGAGTTCTACACTCATAGGAAGTGTAGAACCTTTATAGTTACTCCAAATAAATCTGGCTCCTTATGTTATAAGGAAATGAAAAAGTGTATTCGTTTCTGTTGCTTTTTTATCTCAACAATTAAGACTAACAGCTTTGTTCTTAAAAATAACATTCTTATGCTATTAGCTCATAACATAAATAACTAAGTTGAAACATCTCAAATCATTAACACCTGAAAATCATTTACCACTCTTTAGAGAAAACCCCAAACTAAAGCAAGGACTCCTCAGAAGACTTGGGTAAGTTTGTATCTAGATAGAACATTGTGGCTTAGGTCCATCTCTGCTGCTCAAGCACATAATTTTTCCCTTATTTTTCTTTAGCTATTGTGTTCTTAGACTGCATGTGATCCATATTCAGAACTTAATTGATTTTAGATACATGGGTACTGTGAGAGAATGTAACCCTGTGATCACACCTACACGCCACTGTGATCAATTTTGTACAAGGCATGCCTTGTAAGGTATCATTTGAAAACTCACAATTTGCTGGTCAGTATAGTCCTGATAAAATATGTGTGGGAGTTCCCTCTATGATGTTATTAACACATGTTCCACAGCCCTACCCAAACAGAGCTTGGCAAACAGGTCTGTCCTAAACAAAGGAATGTGTGCTCTGCTTAATTTGCATTTAAGTAGTAAACAGAGTCATCAAGCAGGAAGGGAAACAAAGGAAGCTCAATCAGGTGAGAAAAAGCCAGCAGGAAACATCCCTCCACATAGATTCTGTCTCCTAGTGCTCAGCTGGAAATGTTTTTCAAGAGACGGACTGAAACTATAAAAAGGAGGGACAAAGACCCCAAGGCACCACTCTCTTTCCCTGCTCATCACATTCACTGTACCTGAAGGGACAAAGAAAGCAATCGTTAGACTCTGGGGGGAGGGTTCCCATCCCACAGTTTGGTCAGTAAGACTGTGGTAAGCAATGTTTCTTCAAACGTTGCTTTAATCTTATATAGGTAGTTAAATTAGGTGTTAGTCGTATCTTTATTTTTCTTGTAACCATTTCTGACTTTTATACCTTATTACTTGTACTCACTTAAAATTTCTCTCTTTGTAGTTAATAAACTTGTTTTATTGGTTTATCTAATCCAGTGTGTTTAAACTGAAGTGGCTGGGTAACTCCACTTGGGGTGACAAGTTGCGTGCATATTATTCTCTTAAATGAACAACCAACTTAATATAATTTGTACTGTCGAGGAGAGGGCTGGGCAGTGCAGGACATACACTTCTGGGGGGGAAATCTGGGATGGGGTTGTGCTGGGGTCACCTTACAGCATAACCAAGGCTAGTGAGAGCCAGAGTGTAACCCAAGTGTGGCTGGCAAGCTACAGTTACATACATACACTCAGGGTGTGGCTTGCATGCTAGAAGGCTGGTTGTGAGTGGCCCAGGTGGGAGCTACTTCAGCAAGGCATTGTAAGGCACCCAAGGCAGCAAGGCAGGGGTGACACACCTGCTCATTAGTCTGGATTGTACCCTGGTACGTGACAGGAACCTACATGTGAGTCTCTTTAAGGAGGTAAAAATAGCTGGCATCTCTTTCCACCTCACGTTTAACCAGAATACAAATATATACGGTATGTATGATTATTATTAAGGCAATGCTATTGTATACGCACAGGCAACGGTTCAAAATTTGCATCCACCAGGTGATAGGTTCCTGCTCCATAGAACACTTGTCTCATCACCACATCAATACCCATTCTGGCTGACAGTCCTAATTTGTCCAACCACCTGCCAGAGAACAGGAGACAAAAAAAGAAAAATGGTAATACAAACATCCCCAAAATAAACAGGGGAAAAAACTGCTAATCTAAACTGTTAATGCCATCTCTGCTGCCTTGTACATGAAACGAGAATTAAAATAAAATGATAATGCTAAGCACAAAAAAACCATGAAACTAAGTCAAAGTACAGAATGACAGGAGCCTCTCTGAAAATCCATTTCACATTCCATTTGACGAGCTGTCTGATTCTACTGTGCTGTTTCCTTAAACTCTCTTGTCACCATCTTTGTCTTGGGTAAAGAGAGGCGGCCGCCTGTGGAGATTAAAAGGCTCAGCATGTGATTTTGTCCTGAGCAGAAGCAATAAGGTTCAGATGGAGCCTCACGTGAAGAGGTCATCTTGTGCTCTAGCTTTTGACTTTCCTCCGTAAAAAAATTCTCCAGATTTTTTGGTTGCTAAAACGTGAACTATACGTGAACCAATGCAGTTATGTCTGCCTGAGTCTGCAGACTGACTGAAATTAAACTTCTGAGAAAAGCATAAACACTGTCCTTTCATTTCAATGAACCGTTAACATTGAAATCCAGCGGCAATAATTTAAACATCCGTGTGGTGAGTTATTTCACTGTCAGCCAAAAAAAGAAACACAGACAAACATATGGTGAAGATCTGCTCTTTCAGTCGCATCTCATTTTGGCATCACAAGTGGAGGGAGCGCCAGCTACGGATGAAGCTAGGGACAATACCAGAACTTTTTTCCCAGTATGATCTGTGTTAGTATGCGGAGACCTGTAGTTTCGCTGGCCACACCTCCAAACTTACCCATGAAGCAGTGACCCGAAAGAATGCTACGATAGTTGCACCACGGCAGTGGTTCTCAAACTTTTACACTGGTGACCCCTTCCACATAGCAAGCCTCTGAGTGTGACCCCCCCCTTATAAATAAAAAACACTTTTTAATATATTTAACACCATTATAAACGCTGGAGGCAAAGTGGGGTTTGGAGTGGAGGCTGACAGCTCGCGAGCCCCCATGTAATAACCTCGTGACCCCCAGTTTGAGAACCCCTGCACTATGGTCTATAGGCCACACTTATTTTAGCCACCCTTTCTATACAGTGTTAAAAGTCAAGCAAACATTTTCCTGGACAGCACTTAACATAAAAATATGTCTTTGGCTAGATCCCTCACACAGGGAATGTTTTGGGATCAATTTTCTTTGTTCCTGGGGACTAACTTGCATGAGAGTGACCACTTCAGGTCTGCATGCAGAAGTATTATGGGGCTCCAAAGAAAGCCAGTCCTACTCAGACAGGGAAATGTTGCTGACATGCTGGACATTTAATGGTGGTCATTTAACTGAAGGAGTTCCTGAAAAACCCAGAGCCCTACAGAAAAAAAACGAGTACCAGTAACTTTGAATACATGTTGTTCTACTTACATAAAGCCGGCAACGTATGTATTAGACAGTCTGGGAGCTCCACCGCCATAGGCTGAACTTGTTTCTCCTAACCACACCTTTTTACCAGGTACAGTTCCATCAACAATCTAGAGAATGTTGTGTCATTAGGATAAAGAGAGGAAAATAAGTGCATACATGGCTGTGCCTAAATAAATAGTCACAATTATGCGCTTTAGAACTGATCTCTAGAGAGATCATATGACTTTCAGGGCCTCCTAATATGACCATATTTAATGAGGCAAGGCTCCATAAGATTTCTGATTAACAGGAGTAGGGGAAAGAAATAACGTGTTTTTTTTTAAACTCACATATATTAAATAATAGATTCCCAAATCTAAATTAATCAGGACCAGACTCTGCAACCCTTACTCACACGCAGTATCTTACTATGTAAGTAGTCCTGTTGAAATCAGCAGGAGTACTCTGGGAATAAGGTACTACTTAGTGCAAGTAAGGTGGCGGAATCTGGCCATAAATTTCATTTCTGGGGCTATGATGGCATGAACAAATAACTATAAATTCATTTTCATGGTTTATAATATGTTCAATCTTATGCTTAGTAGATACCAAGGCCTTGAGATCAAACGTTGTTGGCATTTTTGATATTTGTTATATTATTTACAATGAATACGGCATCTAAACATTGAGAGTCTTTAGCTGTATCGCTAGCCAACAATTTCTATTCTGGTTCTTATATGCCCATCACCATGGTTGCGGAGTGCACAGACAATTTAACATAACATTGTACCTGAAGAACATCTTTTACTGCTGTAATAAAGGTTTCCAGCACTTCAGGGCTCAAGAAATCCTCTCTGGTAGCGCTTCGTCCATTTACGTAGTAACTGAAAAGTTAAGAGACACCCCAAGCAAGCAAAAATAAATGACGCAGCCAAGGTTACACTGCCTCTCTTACAAATTACTTCTCCCCATTCACACAGAACCTGAATGTCCTAAAATATTCCAGCAACACTCCCAACTGTAGATGAGTTCTGTATCAAAATCACTTTTCTATGTTAGTTGCTGGCTCTATTATTAAGGCAGACTTTTTGCATATAGTGAAATATTATTTGTCTATCTAATTAACTTAGGGGGTTCATTTATGTAGAGTTGTATTAATTAGTTTCTTTATTTTACAAACCTTAATCAAAAAGGTTTTTTTGAAGTGTATTACATTTTAAAAATACATTACAGCTCTATAATATTATGTGATAATGACCTGGGATCTTGAACAATATAGACCCAGAGTCAGGAAAGCATCTCTATTCAGGAAAGCACTTAAGCATGTGTTTAAGTCCTATTGGTGACAAGGAGACCTAGGAACATGCTTAAAGTTATGCACATTCTTAAGTGCTTTCCTAAATTAGGGTCCTATTTTATAAAGCTTTGCCCATATGTCAACACTTAAAAACAACATCACTAGAACACATACATGGGAACTGGCAATTCAGATAATATTTCTATGATTTGCACATTGGGTTGGGTCCCAAGGAGAGTTAAGACTATCAGGGGCACATTGTCAAACGTGAATGGGAATTTAACCATGCAGCTGAAGTTGTATTAATGGTAATCGTGTGGGTAATTCTCAGAGTGGAAAAAGTTAGTCTTCAGCCTGAAGGGGTTTTGTTTACACTAAACTTGAACAGGCACAAGTAATGAAGAAAAATGCAGAATGTAAAGCACCAACCCATGTTGCCTAAGGTTCCTGTTACCATCCCTATTTACACACTACATTGGTGGCATTAGTTTGTGCTCTTGGTGATGGTTTCCGGAATTTTCTCTAGACTAGTTTCTCTCTGAGTGGGCTGAATTCTCAGTAAAATGGAAAGGAGTACTTGTGGCACCATGTACTGCATCCGATGGAGTGAGCTGTAGCTCACGAAAGCTTATGCTCAAATAAATTTGTTAGTCTCTAAGGTGCCACAAGTCCTCCTGTTCTTTTTGTGGATACAGACCAACATGGCTGCTACTCTGAAACCTGAATTCTCAGTCGCACTCACACAGCACGACTGACTTTAACGAGGCAAACTGGTGCAACAGAGAATATGGCTCAGTTCCAGCACAGATCTCCTACCTACTGGGATGTTTAAAATGGTTGATGACCATGAGGACAGTGAAGCGATAAGCTAATATATGCTCCTTTTGTGGCAAGGTAGGGCAGGCCAATTTGACTTGGTCCCTAGGTCTCACTGTCTCTAATGACAGACCTCCCCATGGCCGGCGGGAGAGAGGAGCTGCCGCCGAATTACCGCTGCTGCGGGACATGGACTGCCGCCCCTTTCTAGCTGCCGCCCCAAGCACCTGCTTGGAACGCTGGTGCGGCCCTGCTCTCCAGAGCCTCAGCAACAGCTGGACAGGAGCATCCTTTGGCACCCCAGGGCACTCAAACTCAGGTAGACCACCTGGGTCTTATCCTCAGGGATATGGCTCTCCCCTTTCCTCTCCCTCAGACTTATTATCTCTACTAGCCAAAGCCTGTGTGGCAGCCAAGGGGCAGCTGGATCATGCTTCCACTGGGGCAACAGACAAACTTCCTTGAATTGCAAATGGTGTTTTTGCAATGAACAGCATCCATCCCTAACGCTCCTCTTTCAGTTGTTAAGCGATCTGCATAATTAGTTACCCTGTGACATTACTCTCGTTTCTGACATGGCTGTTTCATCTGGGACAGTTCCTTGTGCTGTTTAGAGTGAACTATTAGCTAGAAAGTGCAAATTACTAATCAAAGGTGAGTAAGACTCTCTCTTCCTCCTCCTTTATGCCAGCAAAGCCCCGTTCACCTCCAAGTCAGAAAGTCTATTCTGTTACAAGTTCTGTAGCATTTGTGGAGCTTTGAGACAACCTGGGTTGCTGCTCAGTCTGCATATGCCATCGGCTGTGCCTGTCAAAATGCTA